ACCTTGCTAACCGAACGCTCCTCTGTGGCTCAATCGGTAAAAGCACATCAGGCTATATGACGGTTCCGTATAGGATACAGGTTCGATTCCTGTCGGAAGACGCATATTTTCTATGAGAATTTCTCGGACATTCAGGCCGGTATATGTTGTTAACACTGTTTATTATAAACAGAGCATTTACTTAACTATTTGTATCTATAAAAAAGAATGTATAAACATAAAAATGTCTTTATATATATATACACACACACGCATATATATATATATATGGTGGATTTTTCTGACGTATGAGGGTCAACCAGCTCAGTTCCTAGGGCCAGACACCAGTATATATATATATGAGAGCAGATAGAGTAAAATTCCATATTTACTTTTAAAAAAGTGCTGAATACAAAGTAGAGCAATAAACATAAAATGTCTTTTTTTTTATATATATATATATATATATATATATATATATATATATATATATATATATATATATATATATATATAGTTACTTGAAATTATATATTCACATGCAAATATATATATATTGGGACATGTTTTATTGAATAATTTAGATTGATGACATTCATCAACAATTCTTTGGCAATGGACGTGTAAAAATCGTTTGTGTCGAATTGAATGAATGTACATTCATTATTCTTTTTTACCGTTTTAAACCAGTTCATAGTTTTCTTATTTTATATAGGATGTATGTTTATCTATATGTATGTAATATTTAAGTATAATGGTGGGATGATTTACGTATTTCTGCTTATGTAAATGTGTTATATATACAACTTTTTATCTACCAGTATTAAAAATCAAAGGTCGCATCAAGAAAGTCGATGACTTTTGGGTTTGATGTATTAGGGATTTTTAGGTCATGATCATTGAAGAATTTTACCAGTTCTTTTGTTGATCTGTCTATGCTTCATAGATTTTTATTATCTTAATTGCCACTTTAGGAATAATATACACTCAGTATTTTATATAAGATGTATGCGTATCTATATGTATCTATTTACAAGTAGTAAATCATTTGTGTTCAAACGTATATATACATATATATATATATATATTAAGAAATGGACAAAGTCCGACAATTTATTTTATTAAAGACATTTTTATGTTTAACGTTCTTTTTATAGATACAAGTATTTAAGTAAATGCTCTGTTTATAATAAACAGTATTAAATAACATTTGAATGTCCGAGGAATTTTCATAGAAAATATTCGTCCTTTGACAGGATTCGAACCTGCATCCTATACGGAACCGTCATTTACGCTGACGTGCCTTAGCAATCGGCCACAAAGGAGCGTTCTGTAGGCAAGGTCGAATTTACTGCTTATAAACTTCAATCTTCCATGAATCTCGTACATTCATAACTGCTCTGGCGTATCAAATGTAAACAAATGACGTCATATATTAAGAAATGGACAAAGTCCGACAATTTATTTTATTAAAAACATTTTTATGTTTAACGTTCTTTTTTTATAGATACAAGTATTTAAGTAAAAGCTCTGTTTATAATAAACAGTATTAAATAACATTTACCGGCCTGAATGTCCGAGAAATTTTCATAGAAAATATTCGTCCTATGAAAATTTCTCGGACATTCAGGCCAGTAAATGTCAAAATGACCAAATGGAGAACTCTTAAAGTCAGGAACCTCCGATTCTCTATTTTAAAAACAACTTGAAAGACGCCGTTTAACCAACATAAGGACTGACGAAATTTAACGATAAAAAAAAAAAACAATAAAAACAAAAACTACAGTTAACGTTCACTTTCTTCATAAACAGTCATTCAATCCTGTAGTTCACTTCTATGAATAAGCAGGATTTTTTTTCTCCTGATGATGTCCATGATGGCCGAAACTAGTCGAGGAACCTAATTGAAATGAGAAAACAAAAAATGTTAATATACAGCCTAGTGTGTCTGAAAATTTTAATTTTTTTAATATTTTTTATTCTTCAAAACGTATGCACACACACACACACACACACACACACACACATATATATATATATATATATATATATGGTGGATTTTCCTATCGTATTCGATAGGAAAATTTATATATATAAATGAGAGAGAGAACAGATAGAGTAAAATTCCATATTTACTTTTAAAAAAGTGCTGAATACAAAGTAGAGCAATATATTTTATTATATTTTTTTTATTATAAGAGACTTTAATAAAGACATGTTGTAATTTCTACACAAAAGCTTTCAAGTTTCAATACTAGGATTATACTTCTTCAAGCGATGGTAACTGGTAATTAAATGATTTTTAAGGAAAAGCTTTTGTGTAGTGATTTCAAAATGTTTTTATTATAATCTTTCATATATATATATATATATATATATATTACGATAAACGTGCAAACAATTTACAAATTCATGAATTATTCACACAAAAACAAATGCAAAGGTTAATGATTTAATTGGCGAGAAATCCATCATCGCAAACAATTCAAATAATATACAAAAACCTCCGAATCCGTTATGAATGAAATGATCCTTGTTTCTATAAATTTCTGCCGTATTAGTTCTTATTTTTACTACAAGCTTTCGTCTGTTCCTACAGACATCTTCAGGTATAGAATAGATGTTGTTCTTGTTTTTCTCTTAGTAATAAGAGGACAACGAAAATATATGTATTGTTGTATCCGAAAATGCTATTGGAAATGAGTTATTGTTTTTGGAGCGCAGTAGCAACACTGAGTTTGATTTTAAATTTTTTTTTAAAAGTTGTACGTTCATATACAAATATGGTGATGAACGAATTTTTACTGGTAAATTTTCTGTCAAAGTGGCATGAACTATATTGTTCAATAATTACAGTAATGTTGCACTTATTATCCAAAAGTCGCACTTGGATCAGTTATTTAAATTACGATAAACGTGCAATCAATTTACAAATTCATGAATTATTCACAAAAACAATGCAAAAGGTTAATGATTTAATTTCTCGCCAATTAAATCATTAACCTTTGCATTTGTTTTTGTGTGAATAATTCATGAATATATATATATATATATATATATATATATATATATATATGACAAAAAGTTTATTTGTCCTTCAGGACTTCATCGGATTAAAGTTTGTTAGGACGACACATGCATACAACAGATGATTGCTATGTATTTTAGAATTCTTTTTTTATCTCACCGAATTCATTTAGAGTCTTATATTTCTATCGGTGTCCTTGTTTAAGTTAGTGAATGCTGCCATAATCTTTGCCTTCAGTTCATCTTTGGTATTACAAGAATTTTTCTTGGTCTGTCGCTCAACTTCGCTCCTCACATAATAATCAGGGAGGTTGCAGTGTGGGGAGTTAGGTGGCCAGATGTAAGCAGTAATGTGGTGGCAGAAATTGTCTGACAGCTATGACTGGGTTCTCTTACTTGTGTGGCATGCGGCAGAGTTCTGTTGTCAGATAAAGGGACTTCCTGCAGCCTTCCTCTTCCCCCACGGCAGCACTAGCTCATCAAGTCACTTGTTGTAGGCGTCCGTGTTGAGTCTGGGGACGTCACTAACAAATTCAGAAGTTTTTATCAGAATGATCAGTGTGAGTTTTCCGAGCTGCCGTACATTCGTAATCACCATTAGACTCATCCAACTCTTTCCGAATCCTTTGCAATGTCCTCAGATTGACAACCAAACACGCTGAAATGTTCGTATTGGAGCTTCCGGCGCGAATGCCAAGCATTATACCATGCTGTTTCCAAATTTCTGGCGGAGTGAAATGCTTCATGGTGGTCTTTCACTCACAGATGGTAACCAGCTGTCACTAACATACTCTGCAGTCGACAAATGCAAAAGCTAACGCGCATGCCTGAAATAAAAAAATATAAAATGGCGACAATTTACACTCTTTCTCTCTCTCTCTCTCTCTCTCTCTCTCTCTCTCTCTCTCTATATATATATATATATATATATATATATATATATATATATATATATATAAAAAAATGGCTTAAACACTAATATTCCATAGTCATAATTTATTCCATTGGAATCGTAAATACGATCCAATTCATCAGACCTACAAATTCAAAAAGAAAACAGAAAAAACAACTTTTTATGAGAGTGTGAGACAAATGTTAGAGTAAATGAAAGCTATAGAGAGGGGTAACAGACGAGAGAAGAACAGGGGAAGAACAGGAAGGTCTAAAGATGAAGTGGGGATTAAAATTTAACATAGAGAAGTTTTAAAGAAGGGAGTCAAAGACGGTTTAAGTATATATATATATATATATATATATATATATATATATATATATATTTCGTGTGTAACAGCAAAATTAAGCAAATCTTGTAACTGCAAAAGTGTTCAATTGTTAGATTAAGATCTGAACCGTTGTATTTTAGAAATGATTAAAAATATCTTACTGGAATTCTACGAGGTTTGTATAACACTATTGGCGTCTACTTTGAACATTCAGAATGTATTTAACTTATTTATTTGAAATGATGATTCCTCTTTTTGTTGTGACCTGAACTTTGAATGGACTTTTAAGACGGAAGCCAGTGTATGAATATTGGTACCATTACTGAAGTTCTGAATTATTTTTCCTCTCACCACTGCTCATTTGGGAAGACATAGTGGGGCCCTGTACAAACAATTTTAACCTGTTCTCATTCTAGCTAAATATTGTGATTCTTACAAGAAATGGCGTCAAGATGGCTAGCGTCTTATTTGAAAACCTGGAGAAAAGAAACTCAATTACTTTAGTGATTTTGTAGATATTACACATTTTGTGACGGACAATTATCGCATGCTGTTACACGATTTGGGCAATTTTGCTGTTACATTCGGCATTATATACATACAGACATACATATATATATATATATATATATATATATATATATATATATATATATATATATATATACATTTAGTGTATGTATTCGTAAAAATTACCCGCTGCTTCTCTTTATAAAAAGATTAATTAAACGAACTGCGGTTACATAAGCAGATTTCCATTGGCAGACGAGAATGTGGTGTTCACGAGAGAATATTGGTGTATTGAGTATGACAAAAAACGGAAGTAACTGCTTTTTTGGCTTCTGAAGAGAAAAATGTTGAAAACAAAAGCATAGAAAAAACGAAGAGGAATTGAAATCGACGATTGCATGCGTGGGAATATGACATCTTCTGATTCTTTGGAAATAAAAATTACTTCAGCGTCTTTCTTTCCGTGACATTCGTTCGTTCCTGAGTTGGAATTTTAGGAAATTTTGTCTCTTTGTTTTCTTCTCCATTACTAACTGACGATTTATTCTTCTTTCCTTTGTTTTTGCTTCTCTCGAGTTTTCTTTCTTTCTTTCACATTCTCTTTCGCTTTGTCTTTCCTTTTGATACAACGTATAGTTTTTAGTTTTTTCTGAAGAAAAAATTAAATCTTCCTTTTCCTGAGTGAATAGCTTTATTCTGTTCTTATATTATTTCATTTTCTTAACATTCTATTAAAATGGTTTCTTTCTTTATCGCTTGCTTGCTTCATTCATTCTTTCTTTTTCTTTCTTTCTTTCTTTTTTCTATCTATCTATCTATTCGGTTTCATTGTTTCTGTATCTATCTATCTATCTATCTACCATAGTTTCTTCATATCTATCTATCTATCTATCTATTTGTCTCAGTCTGTCTCAGTGTTTCCATATCTTTCTATCTATCTGTCATAGCTTCTTCATATCTATCTAGCTAGCTATCTGTCATTGTGTCAGTCTGTCTCAATGTTTCCATATCTATCTATCTATCTATCTATTATAATTTATTCATATGTATATATCTATCTATCATAATTTCTTCATATCTATCTATCTATATATATATATATATATATATATATATATATATATATATATATATATATCATAGCTTCTTCATATCTATCTAGCTATCTATCTGTCTGTCTTTGTCTCAGTCTGTCTCTGTGTTTCCATATCTATCTATCTATCTATCTATCTATCTATCTATCTATCTATCTATCTATCTATCATAATGTCATCATATCTATCTATCTATCTATTTATCTATCTATCTTAATTTCTTCATATCTATCTATCTATCTATCTATCTATCATAATGTCTTCATATCTATCTATCTATCTATCTATCTATCTATCATAATGTCTTCATATCTATCTATCTATCTATCTATCTATCTATGTATGTATCTTAATTTCTTCATATCTATCTATCTATCATAGCTTCTTCATGTCTATCTATCTGTCTATATGTCTGTCTTTGTCTCAGTCTGTCTCGGTTTTTCCATATCTATCTATCTATCTATCATAATTTCTTCATATCTATCTATCTATCTATCATAATTTCTTCATATCTATCTATCTATCTATCTATCTATTTATCATAATTTCTTCATATCTATCTATCTATCTATCTATCTATCTGCCTGTTGCCTCTTCATTTATCGCTGGCTTTTTCGGTTGTTTGCTTCTTTCCTTCTTTCTTTATCGCTCGCTTGTATTTTTCATACTCCTTCTTTCTTTAGCCCTTGTTTCTTTATTTCTTCGTTCTTTCTTTCTTTCTTTTCACTATTTTCTATATTTCTTTTCTCGATTATTTCACACAATTTTTATTTCTTCCACGTTTAATCCCCGCCATATCCGCTGTTTCTTGACATTACTTCGTACATTTCCTTTCTTTATTATTCGATTTCTAAAAAAAAATAATCAGCGATACTTTTTTTTTTGCATTCCATTTTCTATTTTGTTCCCCTCTCCCCATCCTCTCTTCCCTCCTTTCACTTTCTTCTTCCTCTTCTCTTTCATTCACTTTACTAGAAAATCACTCCATTTCATATCATGCTACTTTTCTCATTCTCTCTTCAAATCCCCCCCTTTCTCAATTTGTTTATTTTTTCTACCTTTTCTCGTTACTCTCTCAAGTTGTTATTTATACCCTCTTGTATTAGATCTTTCTTTCATTCTTTCTTTCTTTCATTCTATATTTCTTTCTTTCTTTCTTTCATTCTTTCTTTCTTTAATTCTTTCATTCTTTCTTTCTTTAATTCTTTCATTCTTTCTTTCTTTAATTCATACATTCATTCTTTCATGCTTTCTTTAATTCTTTCTTTCTTTCTTTCATTCATTCTTTCTTTCATGCTTTTTCATTCTTTCTTTCATTCTTTCTTCATTTCTTTCATTCTTTCTTTAATCCATTCTTTCTTTCTTTCATTATTTCTTTCATTCTTTCTTTCTTTGTTTCATTCTTTGTTTCATTCTTTCTTTCATTCTTTAATTCATTCTTTTTTTTCATTCATTATTTCTTTCATTCTTTCTTTCTTTAATTCATTCTTTCTTTCTTTCATTCATTTTTTCTTTCATGCTTTTTTTCATTCTTTCTTTTTTTCATTCTTTCTTTCTTTCATTCTTTCATAAATTCTTTCTTTGTTTCATTTTTTAATTCATTCTTTCTTTCTTTCATTCATTATTTTTTTCATTCTTTCTTTCATTCTTTCTTTCTTTCTTTAATTCATTCTTTCTTTCTTTCATTCTTTCTTATTTTCTTTAATTCATTCTTTCTTTCTTTCATTCTTTCTTTCTTTCATGCTTTCTTTCTTTCTTTCTTTCATTCATTCTTTCTTTCATGCTTTTTTTCATTCTTTCTTTCATTCTTTCTTTAATCCATTCTTTCTTTCTTTCATTTTTTGTTTCATTCTTTCTTTCATTCATTATTGCTTTCATTCTTTCATTCTTTAATTCATTCTTTTTTCTTTCATTTTTTCATTCATTCATTCTTTCTTTAATTCATTCTTTCTATTTTTCTTTAATTCATTCTTTCTTTCTTTCTTTCTTTCTTTAATTCATTCTTTCTTACTTTCATTCATATTTTCTTTCATTCTTTCTTTCTTTCTTTCTTTCTTTCTTTAATTCATTCTTTCTTTCATGCTTTTTTTCATTCTTTGTTTTTTCTTTTATTCATTCATTCTTTCTTTCTTTCATTCTTTCTTTCATTCGTTCTTTCTTTCTTTAATTCATTCTTTCTTTCTTTCATTCATTCTTTCTTTTCTCTCACACCTTTCTTTTTTTTTCTTTTTTTAAGCCTTTCACCCCAAGTAAGGCGGGGACCCACTAGCACACAAGGGGTTACAGAGAGTTGGAGCGAGAGCAAATAGAAGTGATAGAGGAAAGGATGAAGAGAAGAATAGGAGATTGATCAAGGCATCTAGAGACGTCGATTGACATTGTTGCAATTTTGAGGTATGTATATACTAGTGAGCCAGTCAAAATGACTTGACTCACTTTATAGTCCACCAATAGAAGGTTAACCAATCAGAAGACGTAGAACATTCAATCCGTCGTGTATAAAGGCGGCCATTTTGTCTACTCTACACGAATGTCCAGTCCAGCTTGATAACAGAAGGACGAACTACGCTCTGCTACCTTTTACCAAAATATTCAACGCTTTCCTACTGTCTTCGAAATATTCACTGCTAACCTCTGGATTCTATACTCGAAGACGACCGTCATTATGAACAACAGACATTTCATTTGAATAGTCGGTGACTATAGCTATCAGGGAAACAGGAAGAGGTGCGAGGGAGTTCCACAGGCGAGAGGTGTGAGACATGAAGCTATTGGAGTAGAAGAGACGGCTACATTTAACCGTTTCGCGAGTGAAAGGAAGAGAGCGAGATGCCAGCCTAGTAGAACTCTTAAATTCATGAAGTCTGGGAATCAGCAAAAGCAGTTCATCGGAACGGTTACCATTCTCTATCCTTTTTTCTTCCATATCACTTTTACTCTTCTACCCGTTTGTTAGTCCTTTCTTCAGTCTTCTCTCTTACGATCTCTCTATCACTCTTTTTCCACTAGCGCATCTATTAATCCCTTTCTATTATTTTTCTTTTCTTTTCCTTTAGTCAACATTTTCATTCATTTCCTTGTACACGTTTTCTGCATTCTGTAAAAGAAACTTTCTTGTTTTCTCTCTGTCTTCTTTCCTTCTCCAATGTGTCTAATACATTGTCCAAGAGGCACACAAGGTAGTAGATACTGTTGTGGAGCAAATACTCAATCTTCTTGACTACATAACTATAAATAAAAAGCTCTGGGGCACAGTTAAGAAAAAGGAGCCTTTTGGAGTCAACCTTCAGACTAATTAAGACAGGCATCATGGCAAGTTTCCGAAGCATTACTTATATTATAAGCGCTACCAATCGCGCCATAATAGTGGCGACAAGGGATTCGAAGCTGAGGCGATTAATGACCTTTGAGACGAGGATTTGGAACTCTTACGACTTCTAACAAGGATTCAGAACCTCGTAAAAGTTGTAATTGAAGTTACAAGGATTTTAGAAACTCATACTGAGGGAACAAGTACAGAAAATATACTTGCCGCTTCGGGAACAAGGATACTGGTGGCGACAAGAATTTTAACCACGTTGTTTTAAAAAAATGTTTTTTTTTTTCTTAAAAAAATGTATCTTTGCAAATATAGAGGAAATTTTGGCTTCGATAGTTGAAATTCAACAACAACAGAAACAGCAGCAACAACAAAATCAATAGTTGCTAGAACTAAAAAAAAAACAATAAAAACAGCAACAGCACTTGTTGGATATAATTCGTAAGAAAACAAAGAATTCTTCAGCGTCTCTTACGCCAGACGCTGTCAAAAATACCATATCAGAATTTCTATATAATCCTCATGAGGGATTGACTTTTTCTGCGTATTTCTGTGGATATGAACAAACGCTCAGTCAGGAATACAGCAGCTGGGAAGATGAAGGCAAAACGAGATTGAGGAAAATAGCTCTGGTAGTGTACGAAAAATACTGCACCTACATATTACCGGAAAAATTAGGTGAAATCGTGTTTGAAGACACGGTAAACCTGTAAGAATCCTTCTACTCGGTTTTTCGTTGAATGTTAAAATTTGGAGTATCGGGATTCAATACATTAACAAAATATCGTTACAAGGTCGCTCGTAATTTGGCCGTCTAGAATAATCAAACGTTTTATATTGAAGGAATAAAATTCAGTAGAAAAGATGACGTAGTTTCCACAAATAAATTTAATATAACGATAGGAATACAAATAGTTGATAATAGATTGGAAAGTAATGTCTTTTGTTTGTGTTGAGAAAGTTCTGAAATAAAATATAAACTGTCTTTGTGTACGTATGTGAGAAACAATAAAATGTTGTGATATGTGTGTTTGTATGTAAAAGTCAACATGTGTGTGCGTGATTCATAGTAAAAACGGATACGAGAGATACGAATTGTTTCTTACGGTGTTTCCGTGGTCTGGAGTTTGTCAACGCTGTCGTTTTTAACATGAGGTCATGAAGGTCATCAGCGAGAGGTGTGTGTAGTTTGGTGGCAGCTGCGTGTATATTGTTTTGGAAACGGATTTCGTATATTTTTATACACTTTTTCCGAACAATATCGGCTCCAGAATTAAATTATTTACTTATTCTTAATTGGCCCTAAAAGAGCACGTGATATGTCTTCTACTACGTCCGTACGATATTTGGTCGATATCTACCAAAAAATAAAGATGACTAATACAACAAACATTCTGATTTGTAATCTATGATTTTATTGGTGTGTTTTAAGATGTAAGTGTTTTCTTGAGTGTGATTGGTTTATAAATATTGTATTTGATATTTTACCACGAAAATCTTTAGTAGCAAGAGCTTTGTGTTTAATACTCGTTAGAGGTGCAGGAATATAACCAAAAAAGATGAGGATAGATTTTGCCACGTATACTGGTATCTTTTTTGTAGAATGTGAAAGGTTTACAGTAACAGAAATGACTCCAGATATGTTCACAGGATGAATTGTCGTTCAAGATTTGACAGCTAAAAATGATGCTGAAATACGAGCGAAAATTTTAAAGAAAATTCAACGAAACAATAATATTATACTACCAAAATAGGAGACGATTGGCACAATTCTAAGTCTGAAACACGATGCTGAAGAAATTCAGAAAAAAGAATGGTCATTGGTACAAGCAAAGGACAAATGTACAAAAAGGAGAACAAATCCTTGTTTCAGATGTAGTAAATTACATCTTGGAAATGACTGTCCATTTACAAATGCAGAATGTTACTAGTGTGGTAAACTAGGATATATAAAGTCATGCTGCAAAACCAAACCAAAAAAAAAATCTCACAGAAAGAAATTCATACACAGTATTGTGACTGAAAAATGGTTGCAGAAAACAAAAGGAAATTTGTGAATGTGAAAATAAGAAATGTGGGTTTAAAAATGCTACTGGACACTGGTATTTCTATAATCAATAATCAGCGAAACCACATGAAAAGAAATTAGAAAACCTTTAGTAAAAATGACTTCCAAAGTCGCGATTTCAGTTTCTGGTGAGAATTTATTTTTTTAGATATGACTTG